AGCCGCAGCAAGGTGTGTTTCGCGCGCGGTGTTGGTCCTGGGCGGAAGGCACTGCGGTTGCGCGAGTCGCCTCAGGGGCCGGGCATACTTCACGCGAATTCAGTCGCGACGCGATTTGGCAATATTCCAACCGTCCATAACTTACTGTAAGCACATTTCAAATGTACGGAAGATAGCGCATTTCGTCAATTCACGTAAGTTATACGCTACGCATGTGCAGTTTGTTAGTGTCGGATCTGAAGACTTCTGGCGAATTGCCAAATCGCGTCGCGACTGAAATCGCGTGTAGTATGCCCGGCCCTTTACACCCGTGCTAATGTTAGTAGCACTAATAACACGATAATAGCAGGGGTAACAACTGGTAACGCTAGTAACACTGAACACTGATGAAACTCTGTAACAGTGGTAATGTGGTAATGCATAGCCGAAGCCTAAGACATTGCCTGAGAGGCAGCGCAAATGGTGTGCTCGCGGCTGAGATAATTATTCCAGCCGCGAGAGCACCATTTGCAAACCAGACCTCTTTAGCTGATTCCGCGGGAACCCACCACTGATGGGCTCCCGCGCAAGGTCTGCAATCCGATGCAAGTCATCCGCCGAATATGAATGACAGCTGCCCGAGCACCGCTTATGAAATTTGAAATGTCAATTTGAAAGATTGTTGTTACAGAACGAACAAAATCATCCTGACATATCTGAGAAAAGGTCTGTAATATACTTGGGTCCGAATCGAATAGAAATTCGATCATTCGAATAAAGCATTCGAATATATTCGTATTCGAAATTCGATATTCGGAGTTCTTCCATTTTCGAATAATATTCGAAACTCGAATAATTGAGAAAACGGGGTTTCGAATAAAATTCGAAACTCGAATAATCCAAAAACAGGGTTTCGAATATTATTCGAAAACTCGAATAATCAAAAAACGAGGTTTCGAATATTATTCGAAAACTCGAATAATCAAAAAACGGGGTTTCGAGTAGATTTTATTCGAATGTTTTATTCGAATGTTTGTTCGAATTCGTATTCGAATGTACTCCGTATTCAGATTATTCGACTTTGTTGCAGAGACAAATGCTGAGTATCAAGCTCACTTCATCCGCGTTTTTTTTTCGCAAAACTTGGTAATGCATCTTTTGTAACCGGTATACCTTTGAACTGTATGGAGAGTCGCATCCTTCCAACTGCTTGCGACAGTAAAAAAAATCATAAGTTTAATTGATGTTTTTTCGATCAGTGAGATTGTTCGCACTGCTATTGGCACCAAATCAGCAAAGAAGATATCAAATTCAAGCTCATGTTCTGAGTTCATACTGAATTGAAATGGCTGTTCTTCTTTTTTTGCATTTCTCATGCTTGCGGTAAGCAAAGCCCACACTAGTGAGCACTCTTGCTCGCATAAATCATTTCAAAACTGCCTATTCGTTACCTTGGAGTTTTTTGCGAATTGGTGTATATTGAGTAAAGGACATCGCAGTTGTAGTGCAGGATTAGACGGTTTAGATCGCCGTACGCGATTTGCCAGTTACGAGATATCTTCAGATGTAATGGCAATTTACCACAAATGTTTAGCGTGTACAACATACTAAAATGATAGATGCCCTGCATTCTGTACTTTCAGAATAGGTTTTGGACAATTTGAGTATTGCCATACCACGTCGCCACTGAAATGCTTGCAGTATGCCCGGGGTTATAGGGACATTCGTGCTCGCTTCGCGGAGGAAACCACATGCCTTCGTCTACGACTAGCGTATAACATACAAGACGAAAGTCTCCGATGAACAGGCAATGTATCGTAGCATTTGTGGAATTTAAGTGCATATGTGGCCACCTTATTGCTTCAAAAGATCGCACACCTAGCGCTATGAATCCGAACAGCTCGTTAGGTGCTTACACCAAGTTGCAATGTTTCTCATTTTTAGATTTTAGCTCCAGCCAATTTTATCTTTACTCTGCTAAACGTCTTTGAAATCCAGTGGAAGCCTGACAAATAAGGTCTGCTGTCGAACAAAGCCGCAGGATCAAGGTGTATAAATGCGGTTCTTACACGTGCGGTGCATAACGCGCAAGGATCACGAAGTGCAGCCGCTTACACGACGCGCGTGCCTTACTCATTCTCTTAAAATCGTGGCACTGGAACTCACCGCGCTATGCCGACTACCACGAATAAAATGTAAACAACCACTCATTTAGAAAGTCTTTTCACGTGAGATCGGTGATTTCGAGTGGATGAAACTTTTCGCAGGAAGACAAACGCAAATTTGAATAGGTTTTTGGATTTGTCATGGCTTGGTAGTCGCCATAAAGGTAATGATAACCGTGAGCTACATCTCTGTGCGAAAATCTTCTCAAACGCTTGGCTAGAACCTTGGCAAGTTGACCATTTACACAACCAATTCATTTTGGCGCCGTTTTCGTTATGTAGTAAACTTTCGACCACTTTTCTGGCTAAACTCCATCGCTTGCACATTTGCTTACCAAACTCATCCACGACTCTGCAAAAAGTGGTGATACGGACCGAATTTTGCGGTACAGAAGCTAGGTGGACCCGTTTGGCGCGCAATTTTTAACGGATCCACTCGACGGATTTGCTCGCGCTTTTGCATATTGGACTTTCATGCTGCTAGCATGCGCCATGCAAAATTTGGGCTCAGGAGGTTGGCTGGAACATGTTCTACGAATTTCGTAACGGACAGACACACAGACACACAAAAAGACGTAAACAACCCTTAGCCCGTTATTATAAGTCATGAAACTTACTTTATCGATTTTATCAATTTTTGGAGAAGTTTGAGCTGCGGGGCTGGAAGTTGGTAGAGGGGTAAATGAGGGCGCTGATTAAAAATAAAATTTACCATCGATTTCACCAATTTTTGAAAAATCTTGAGTTAGGAGTTGGTATAGGGGATACTAGGGGGCTGATTATAATTGGATCGGCTTTAGCCAGATATGTCGGCAAGTTTGAGATGTGATTGCTTTAGTTATTCGATAAATCATTCGAATATTTATTCGAAATTCGACTTCCAATGTTCGAATATATTCGATATTCATTCATTCGATATTTTTGATTTTCCGAATTTATTCAAAATTCATTCATTCGATATTTTTGATTTTCCGAATTTATTCGAAATTCATTCATTCGATATTTTTGTTCCGAATTTATTTGATATTCGTTTATTCGAGATTTTTTATTTTCGAATTTATTCGATATTCATTCATTCGATGAAAAATTATCGAATTACCCAAGTATAGTCTGTAATACTCCTCTTCCATTGATGGATTACAAAAGCACATTCGCACGATACGTGTAACTCAAAATAGTGAAAATCACATACAAATAGTGAAAATCTCATCTTGTATGACAGTACCCTGGCAATCATTATGCGCAGGTATCAGGATATGAGAACCTTCATAACCCAGACAGAGAAGGAAGAGGAGAGATATCTAGAGTAGCGAGGCATGTCGCATTCCCTCTCAGATCCCCCCCCCCCTCTAAGGGTATCTACGCGTATACGAGCCTAAGGGCCGCATGCACTAACATGGCCGCGGGGAGGGGATCGCAGCTTGAAAGAAAGCTTCATATTTCGAAACCCTAGATACCTGGATTTCACGTTGTGTACCTATCCGTAAGTAGTCCTACTATCCTTCACTATGAACATGTTGAACAGGAGCGAGAAGCTGTACAAACCGCATTTTCCAGCTTTTGTATGATCCCTGATGATCCCCGGCGCTTTTCTTTAAAGGCATTTTTCTTTCTCCGAAATTAACGAAAAACTTTCAAAGTTGTGCAGATTATCTACCCCAACAGTGCTAAGCATGTTACTGATGAGAACAAATGATGTTTTGGAGTCATGAAATTTTCGATGATCCACAGGTCGAAATTTGGGGTTTACCGAAAAATTCGATTTTTCAAAAATTCATTTGTTCTCATCAGCAACATGCTTGGCACTGTTGTGTTAAATGGTTAGTACAACTTTGGAAGGTTTTCGTTAACTTCGGAGAAAGAAAAATGACTTTGAAGAATAGATGTTCGTCCCCCAGGGATCATCAGGGGATCCTACAAAAAGCTGGGAAATGCGGCTTGTACAGCTTCTAACTTCTACTCAATATGTTCATAGTGAAGGATGGTGGGAGTACTTACGGATAGGTAGACAGCGTGAAATCCAGATATCTGGAGCTTCAGGATATGAAGCTTTCTTCTGATGCTGCGGTCCCCTCCCCAGCGGAAATGTTAGTGCATGCGGCCCTAAGACGCGTCTAGCTGAGACCGCGATTTGCTGCCTTGTAGACTGCTGTAGAACCAGTTAAGTGAGGAACTAAGTAACTTTCATAAAATTCACGGACGATGGTTACTAAACCATGAACACATTATCAATGCTTGCTTCAGGGCTTGTTTCAAACGGTAGGCCTTCTGAGAAGTCTCACAACATCGACTTTAGGTTATATCTTTCAAAAGCTTTCACGAATCTCCAAGTGTCTAAAGCGTTCTATCAGTGAGCGCATGCTTGATTTGTGTTTAAGAACAATTCTTTTGCCCGAACTCTTGCCCGAACAATCTGACCTATGGTCATACTCGGCATGAAACAAGTGATGTTCCTTGATTTTATTCAGGCATTCCACATAGGGCTAAGGTTCTCGCTTACTAGTTTTGGTTGACATTGAGCTACTTTTCAGAGTCAGCGATTATACACTTCAAAGTCGATTCCACAATTTGTTGAAAACTCGTAATGAATTACATGGCATTTATGCAGATCACCAGTGCTTCACCTCTGTTTGGCAGAGGTTGGCACTGGTCATTATGAAAGGTATTAGGTAAACTTACTTGAATGGCTTTCCTATCATTTTCCAATTGAGAGACGGCTAAGTGTTAACAAAGTGAAGCTCGCTTATGTAGCTTTCACATGCTTTGAAGCAATATAAATCATTTCACTGCAATTTCGTAACAGACCAAATTACAGACCGACAAATTAGCTTCTTATTATAAGTCATGTGGTTACAGCCAACACACCAACCGAGCAAAATCGCAGCCGTGTCTACACACACCGCCCATCAGAATGCCGAAAGAACAGATTTGAATCTTTCTGAAGTTAAAGGGCGTGCAAAGGGTAAGTTTGCAAAAATTGATGCCGCGGATGAGTATACAACTAAGCTTTTACAGAAATGGAGCAAGATTCGGTAGGTGATTCTTCTCTCTATATATTATTGTCTAGAACGTCTTCAGGATAGCAAAGGAAGTTCCGAAAAAGAGAGCGCAGAAGTGGTGGAAGGTAAAACATCTTTAAATTCAACCAACTTATTATTTGTTGTCTTCTCAGAGTTCCTTGAATGTCCCCCTGAAATATTCAATTACTGTGAAAATTATCTAGCTCGTACTTTACGAACTTTCAACCTTTCTTGCCACATTAAGATTACAATTCTTAGACTTTTCTCCATATTTTTTGCATGCATCATATAATCAATTGCGAGCAAGTTGAGTTATTGCATCGAGAACAATTGAAGATAATGCTCAAACTTTGCTTATTTTTTACGGATAGAAACAAAAAAGACTCTTATTCCACATTTCGAGTTCATGAGCAAACATTAACCATTACTATCCGCAATACATATAGGTGGTCGTGATCCTAATCCATCTTTCCACCAAGTTTTCAAATCCTGCCGTTGCCAGTTGTGGTTTCAAAGTAAGAAATTCTTCAATGCCAATTTGATTTCAATATGATTTGCGGAGTTGCTTTCTTTAGAGAATAACAGTCGAAAGGCACTGAGCAAAATTAATACTAATAATTATGAAAAAGCGTTTTCGATAAGCTTTCTAATGAAAGCAGTTATATAAAATACTAGCTGGCTTACCCGGCTCCATCCGGCCTTGTCAAAATGATAAAGGTTCCCTTCCTAGCCCTGTACAACCCTTCCCTGTGCCCACTTCTACATGCAATCCCTATTACCGCCGTGATAGTAATCAGCAAGCCCACCTACTCCCCTCAACAACCCCCAGCCCCGTAGCTCATAGTTTGCAAAAAAATCATTAAAACCTATAAAAGTAAGGACAATTCTAAAAACAGGTGGCGTTATTCGACTATCCGGGCTGTAAAATGTTTTTGTGGTGGGTCTTGCTCAAGCTCGGTATAGGGGGTTATTCAAGCCGCTGATGACGAATATCGTAGTCATTTCGCGTGCCAGCGGGTAAAAATCATGAACCTGCCTGAAACCTTGGCAGGGAATTGCCTAAAGTGCTGTTTCAAGAATATCGTGCTCAATCCCCATGATAATGGGAATTCGCGTGGTATATAACTTTCCTACGTCCGTAATGCTTTTCTTATAGGACCACCGCCGCGCGCGAAACACCCTTCGGCGGCTTTTGCCTAAGCAAAAACGAGGGGAGGGAGATTTGCCGCGTGCGTTACACGTTGGGACAGGTTATCAGGATAGCGCTGGAGCAGGGCCCGGCACGAGGTGGGCAAATGACAAGCTGGAAATCGTTTTTGGTGGAAAAAGCAAGGCTAAAATCGTTTTTGCGGGGTCCGGGGCGGAACCCCGAAAGAAGATTCCAAGTGCTATTACCTCATACAACCTTCATTGGGAAGTAGTTTTCATAAGCCTCAACGCACAGCAGAGTTCGCGCGCGCTACGCCCGCTAATTGCCGCGTGCGCGACATCGCATAAGCGCCGTTGAGCAGCATGATTACAGTCTGCTCCAATCGGGATCAGGCCGAACCGTCGGCGTAAATTTGCGCGCTCGCAGCGCTAGCGGTCTGTGCTGCATGTGCACGCTGTCGGAGAGAGCAAAAAGATTGAAGAGAGGGCAGAGAAGCAGGCCATGGGCGTGACCGCGAGACCCTAGCGACGCGGTCTCCCGCCATGCCAATTTTGGCCTGGTTGGGATTGGGGCATTGGGCAGACTGTACATGATCAATTCTCAATGCAGGCGCAACGATATAGCACAAAATTACATAAGCGTAAGCGCACGAAGAGAGACTAGTAGAAACAGAGTATGAAATATTATGAAAAACTTATGTGAATGGTAGGTGAAAAAAAAAGCATTTTTTCCAAAAATTTTGCAAAACTGGTAAATGAAGATGTGAATTTAAATGGCTAGTTTGCAGCGCACAGATGACCATACGGTATGAAACTTGGTAGATACATGAACATGCTGCGGGACCTTAGAAGTTTCATTGAAAAATCATGTGACTGAAGGTTGTGGCAAGCTTTTTTCTAAAAATTTCCTACTATCAAGAATATAGAAAAATGGCTCGTTTGCAGCGCAGAGAAAACAAAATCACGCGAGACTGGTGTGTATACGCGCAGTAGGACTAAGGAACAAAATATGAAAATTTATGAAAAACTTATGTGAATGAAGAGCGTGCCCAACTTTTTTCCAAATTAGGTGAGCAATTGCCCACCTAATGCCCACCTGAGGTAGGCAAAACCTTCAGTTCACATAAGTTTTTCAAAATTTTTACATAAATCTGTGTACACCTATAGTTTACTACATGGAGATTTTGGTTCCGAAACTCCTCCTCTTGTCTTTGTTAGAGCCCAAAATCGCATCAGCAGCCTGGCTTTCTAAGATGGAAAACGCACCCCAGTCAATCGATACGCGCGGGGACGACGTCTCTCAGTCCTATGGCTGCGTTACTTTGATATTTCTTCATTCCTTCATTATTTTTCTTGCTTATTCTTCTTCTTGTTTTCTATCTTGATACAAGTGAGGAGTAATTAGAGGAATTTGAGCATTTTGAGCGCTTTTGAGCGTTTTTAGTCGAAGTGTGGCCGGTGCTCTCGTTGCACAAGCACAAAGCATCGTTTTTGGGCTCAAGAAGACATTCGTAAAAAAAATTGGGATCAAAGAGGAATTCGTTTTGGAAAACCCCGTTTGCCCACCTCGTGCCGGGCCCTGCGCTGGAGACCGCCACAGGTGCGATAAGGTGAGAATGACCCCTCCAGGGTGAAGGGGGTCACAGCGGTCGCAGCCCTCCGGGTGAAGGGTGTTTCAGTTGATCAAGAAATCATAAAATGTCGACGGGGGGGGGGGAGGAGGGAGCCATTGTGTTCTCTCATCATTTTTCCTAGTCAAAGTTTATAATTTTCAATTCCTTGCCATCACTGATTGTCTTTTTCTGAAATGTGAGCCGATGTGCTGCTGGATTTTGCACACAAATATGGTTCTGATCAGCATTTTTTTACATTTTTCTTTTTTCCTTTTTTTACATCACCCTGCCTGTTTTTGAAATTACCATAGAGAATGCGACAAGATATGTTTCGGATAAATGTTAGACAATGAAGCATTTACGAATTTCTCATAAGAAGAAATTCGTAATTTCTGTAGATTAACAGCAACGTCAGCAAGGAAAATGTTTGAACCACTCTGTCGCGCTTTTAGAGCATATATATTTTGCTTGGAGTATGTTTAAAAAGTGCGAAGAGTGAAGAGTGGTGAAGAGTGTGGGTAGTGATTTCTAGATATTTACGAGTTTTTAAGATAGAAAATTCCGTAACTTTTGTAGGTAAACATTCTGTACGCCGGGACGGTTACCGTTGGAACCGTCTCGTCCTCCGCTCTCAGAAAGTATATACTTTGCCTAGGGTTCTTCAAAAAAAGTGCCTGGATGAAGGGTGTCCCAGTGATTTCTGGAGATTTTCTAGTTTTTAACATAAAAAATTCATAACTTCTGTAGATGAACATCTTATACGCCGGGATGGTCACCGTTAGAACCGCCCTGTCCTCCGCTTCCAAAAAATATGTAGCATGTCTGAGATCCGTTCAAAAAAGTGCCTGGGTGAAGGGTGTCCTAATGATATCTGGAGATTTTCTAGTTTTTAACATAAAAAAATTCATAACTTCTGTAGATGAACATCTTGTACGCCGAGATGGTCAACATTGGAACCGCCTCATCCTCCGCTTTCAGATGATATATACGTTGCTTGGGGTCCTTTAGAAAAAGTGCCGGGTGAAGGGTGGGTGAGACTTTTATAATGGAAGTGCTCAAGTAGACCTCTTTTCACAATGGTAAAAAAGCCTCTACGAGCACGCCCATTATGAAAGTCTCACCCACCCTTCACCCGGCACTTTTTCTAATGGACCCCAGACAAAGTATACATTTTCTGAAAGCGGAGGACAAGATGGTTCCAATGGTGACTATCTCGGCGTACAAGATGTTCATCTAAAAAAGTTATGAATTTTTTTATGATAAAAAATCGAGTATCTTCAAAAATCACTAAGCACACCCTTCACCCAGGCACTTTTTTGAATGGATCTCAGACATGCTATATATTTTTTGAAAGCGGAGGACGAGGCGGTTCCGACGGTTACTATTTCCTTGCACCAGCTGTTCATCTGCAATAGTCACGGATTTTTTTATCCTGAAAGCTCAAAAATTCCCAGAAATCACTAGGCACATCTTTCACCAGGCACTTTTTTAAGCAGATCTCAGACATGTTGTATATTTCTGAGAGCGGAGAACGAGGCGGTTCTAACGGTGACCATCTCGCCGTGAAAGATGTTCATCTAAAAAAGTTATAAATTTTTTAATGTCAAAACTCGAAAATCTCCAGAAATCACTACTCACACCCGTCACCAAGCACTTTTTTCAACAGACTCCTCCTTCCTATACGTTGACAATTCACGTACAAATATCTCCTTTGCTAAACCTTACCTCACTGTTGATTTTTTTCTTTTGGTGAAGGGGGTCACCTTGGTCCCGGCTCAGGGGTGAAGAGGGGGTGAGAAAAGTCTCACACTATCGCACTTGTGGAGACCGCCATGCAAAACAACCGTTTCCCCATTTCGTGAATATCTGGGATCTAAATTGGTCCGAAAGCGAAAAAATGTCCATTCAAATCCTGCAACTCACCATAACTTCACCAATGCGTTATGAAGCGAGCAACCATCATATTCATCTTATATATAAAGCTGAATATCTGTTTGTATGTCTGTATGTCTGTCTGTCTGTATGTCTGTGTGTACGTATGTTCCGAATAGAAAATTCCATTTCTGAACCGATCCGGACCAAACTTGGCACACATACACTTCGGGCCCGGTGGGTGTCATAGGCTACTTTTCGTTATCGATCGATTTTATCGGTTTTTATCGATTTTTTTTGCAGAGTTCACCTACGGGGCTGGGAGTTGGCACAGGGGGGGGGGGGTAATCGAGCATGCTGATTACGAATACAATATTAGTTTTAAGAACTATCCATTACTTTTATCGATGTTATCGATTTTTTGTAAGGTTTGAGCTACGGGACTGGGAGTTGGCACAGGGGGTAATCGA